GTTATTAAAGCCTAAGATAAACCATGTTTTCTCTTTTCTATGATATGATTATCTTTTTAAAAGCACAGGAAATGCCTTAACAGCTGGCAATGTTCGTATCAGACATTATATACCTTACAGCTAGACTTTACTGGATCTACTAACTAGGGTGCTACAATTTCCAAAAATTAGGGTAATCATTTACATTCTAATTGTGCTATTTCATATGAAACACTTCCCCTACATCGCTAAAAATATTGGTAGAAATCTAATAGATCAATAAATTTACATTAAAAATCTGCTGCATGAACTAACCTTTGCAAGTGTGACCATCTGATGCTAACTGATAACCATCAGGACACGAGCACTTGAATGTCCCCGGGGTATTTACACAGATACCAATACAAAGCCGGCCTCGACCACGGTATTCCAAACATTCATCTATGTCTGTACATGTCCTATAAATACAGGAAAGAACAACAGGCAGTATATAAGAAAAAAAGGTCTTTTGCAGTATATGTACTTGGACTCATATTTAATCTAAACAAACAAAAAAAAATTGTTTATAACTTTATCTTATTAGTATATCATGAATCACTGTTATCAAAATCATGGCTATCAAGTACTACAAAAAAATAAACAGTAAATAATATACATCCACCTAAGAACAATTAATTTTTCTATCTGGTTACATCCCTTTCCACTGTGACTGGCCGGTCTGTCTGTCTGAGTCACTCATTCTAACACAGATATGTGCAGTAAGAACTTTTTGGGATTGACACTTCCAAAAGCAAGATGGGTAACATGAAATATGAAGAAGAAATTAAAATATACTGAATTACTACACACTTTCCACATACCTGTTATCCCTGGCAATGGTAAATCCTGGCCGACAAGTGCACTGATACGACCCCCAAACATTGATACAATTGTGATGACAGATTCCATCCACTTCATTGCATTCATCCACATCTGAAAAAAACATAAAGTGGAAAAATCAGTATTCAGTAATTGGTATTATAGCTGTATCTGTAACATCCCAATAAATATACTACCAAGGCCACATCCCAAGGGTGGTGACAGATGGCATTCGCAACAAATACAGATTTTTCTTAACTACAATCAAACTTTATTTCATCTGATTTATGATTATATTATAATAATGATTACTCCAGGGCTATAACAAACATTAATATTATTGCAAGTGAACTTTTCCTCCCCGACGAAAAAAAAAGAAGTCATCTTTACCTTCACAAGTAAGTCCATCTGCTTTGTGTTTGAAGCCTTTCTTGCAGTTACAGCGGTAAGAACCTTCTGTATTTTCACACACTGCTGTATTTGAACATATCTGTTTGGGAAACACACTTCTCGTTTAACTTTGCTTTGCATTTGTGTGTGTGGGTGTGTGTGTGTGTGTGTGTGTGTGTTTGCATGTGTGTTTGCATGTGTGTCTATATGTGTCTGTTTGTTTGTATCTGTGTCAGTGTCTGTGTCTGTGTTTGCATATGTGTGTGTTTGTGCATATGTATGTGTCTTGCATGTGTATATTTCCATACATGTGTGTCCCTATGCATGTGTCTGTTTCTGTACATGTGTGCCTATGCATGAATATTTGCCTTTGCATGTGCATGTATGCCTGTGTGTATGTCTTATACCTATAAATATATATATCTTTATTGTTTTGTTTTCATAACTAAATAAATATTAATACGTACATTTCCGAAATAAGATTCACATTCGTTTACATCCTGACACTGTCGCAAACTATTGAGTCTGAAACCAGGTGGACACTGACATATGTAGCTGCCCTGGCGATTGGAACACAGCTGATTTCCTGTACACTGATGAGTCCCATCAGCACATTCATCAATATCTAAAAAACAGACGTAAAAAATAGACCAATAATTAATACGAAATACATGTTGCAAGTGTATGCAATATCATATCTAAAAAATAAAAATTCTTGAAAGAGCTTCATCAAGTATTTTTAATTACCATATTTTCACAATTATATAATCCTCTTATCCTTATCATCATCCAAAAGAGAGAGAGAGAGGGGAAACTATCTTAAAAATCATTTACCGACACACTGATTTCCAATCTCATTAATTTGGTATCCGACCCCACAGTTCAAAAGTGGGCGGCAGCGGAAGGACCCATGGGTGTTGATGCACCTTTCATTACGGCGGCAAGGAGATGTTCTTTCCTCGCACTCATTAATATCTATTGGATAGAGAATAAAAAAAAAAAGGGGGGAAAAAAATTAACAATAAAGAATATTCAAAATAGAGAAATATGGACTGTCTGCAGTTTTTGATAAGTATTTGATATATCATGTGTTTAAGGATTAATGTTTACAGCTTCCAAAATATTATCTCTTCAAAAGGAGAAATCTATACCATTTACTCCTAAAAGGCTCCGGAGAGACACATTTCTATGTCAAGATCATATTTTCAATCAATATATACTGATGATGTAACTCTATCATTAAGTTAATATTGATGATCAAGATGATGATGATGATTATGATTATGATTATGATGATGATGATGATGATCATATCATGATGGTCATAGTCACAGTGACAGTCAAGGTCACAATCATGGTGACGGTGGCGATGGTGATGATGATTAATATATAATAGGTTCTTTAAATATATCCTCAAGAAAAATAAAAATTACTCTTAGATAATTAAGAGTTTAAAGCATACATGAATGGTAAATATTAGCTTGTGATTATGTAAGGCAATTTATCACAGGATTTCATAACATTACTTACTAACCCTTGATAACTAGAAACTCAATACAATTTTTATTTTCACAAACCATCAGCTGGTAACAAGAATATAGTATATACATTTTTCATTATATGACATTCTAGAAAAAAAAGTATACAGCATACATATATAGTCAATGCACTCGGTGGAGTTTGAATATATACATGGTTAAAAAGCATAGCCAGAAAAAAATATTAGAAGCTATAATCAGAGGGGAAAGCTAATCTAAAAAGAAAAAAAGCATCCTACACTTACCAATGCACCCTTCATTTACAGGCTTAAAGCCAGGATTGCATGTGAGATCTACACACGTTCCATTAAAGCTCAGAACTTGTAAATTTGGGCAAATCTTCTTTACGCAACGGAATGAGCCCTTTATGTTGAAACATTCATACTTCGGCCCCAGCTGATCACAGTCATGAGTGTTAAGCATACACTCGTCATCATCTTCATGCAGGGGTTAGTTAAGCAGAAAAGCAGTTATTATATATACATTCAGTACGTCATTAGTAATCAGTATTAATAGGTTATCTTTTCATTATCAATAATGCATCATTGTAATATTCACTGATATATAGAAGTGAATCAATATACTGAAAACATTTTATCAAAATTTAACAACTGTCCCTGGTAAAGATAATTAACTAATGCATTCAAGACTAATAACATATTCTCTCAGTAGAGTGCTTACATAAGGGCTTTACAGCAAATTAGTTCTACAGAAGTAAGTAATGAAAGAAGCAAAATGTTTTCAAGTGCTGTCTATCATTTTATATCATTACTGAAGTAAATGTTGGTAGCTTTTTTCCTCACCATCACATTCTCCAGTATTGTGATTCAAAGTGTATCCTGTACCACATCCAGCAATGCGTATACAAGCATAAGAGCCAATAGTGTTGTCACATCTTTGTGTTGTTTCGCAGTTGTGTAAACCAAGCTGGCATTCATTTAGATCTGTAAGAAGATTATTAGTTTTCAAAAGTCTGGACTGACACTATTCTAAGAAAATTTACATAATTCTCTGGATTTTTTAAATATACAAATTTTATTCATCTTCCTTTCATACCTCAATATAATTCCTGCCTTAAATATCTGCATATATATCTTTACTGAAAGTATCTGCCAATCCAGAACTTTATCAATATTTTTACCTAAAAGTATTGCACTAAAAAAGGGGCAAAAGTGAGATTATGACAGTGTATGCATGTTGTACAAGATTTGTATGAAATATTTACATACATATAGGTAGATGTGGATGCACTATAGCATCATAGAAACAATTTAATTGATATTATTCTTACCTATGCATTCACCAGTAGATGAACTTCTTTGGAAACCTTCCCGGCATGTACATTTGTATGAGCCTTGGGTATTTTCACAAACCTCAAATTCTCTGCATGGGTTGTCATTACATTCATCAATATCTGTAGTGAAATATATTTAAGACATTTGTTTATTTGTGACCAAAAAAGCTGGGAATACAACCTTAATTTTATATCCTTTTCTATTTGCCCAACCAGCATACCTACCTCTACAGCTTCTATATGCTGCATTATATAATGTCCCAGGTGGACACTGAGGAGCTTGAGGACGAGGAGGAAGGGGTGGAGGGGCAGGAGTGGTGGTTGTGGTTGTGGTGGTAGAGGTGGTGGTTGTGGTAGAGGATGTTGTGGCACGCACAGGTTTATGTGCAGGTGCACACCAGTAGTCACCCTTGGTATTAATGCAGACCTCAGTCAGTTTGTTGCAAATAGCTCGACCTTCTTCGCATTCATTAATGTCTGAGAGGACCAGGAAATTGCTTATTACTAGAATCTGCAGAGCTGAAGAATTATAATGTTCTCCAATAATGCTTTTCACTGCTTGATAAAAACAGCATATATGAAAAAAAATCTTGCATTGTAACTTTCAATGTATGTTATATGAATTCAAAATAGATTCATCCTGTAGAAAATAAATATGATTACAAATGCATTGTCAGAATCATGTTCAAGCCCAAAACAGCAAGCAGACACCAACACATATGAATACCCTACACACTGAATAATCTAAAGCACTTTCAAGTCACTTCAGAGTATATATGTACATTATACACTTACCAGTCATTGCGTTCATGATATCAAAAAATGAACATAACCCCTCAGTCTTTGGATTGCAACATACATCATGTCTGTAAGCAGGTAATTGCAACATAAATGATGACTTTTATGAGTATAATGTATTCAAATCTATTCTAATAACCCCTCTTAATGTATAATGTCCCAAGAGGAATGGTCTCTTATCCCATGCACTGCAATGTTAATTGTTTCAAAATTGAATCTTGTGTTTTCAACCAGTGTTTGGTGGGAATCTAGGAAAGGTAAAAAGGAAGTGAGATCAAAATGAGATTTTTTTTTCATATGGAAGTACTTTACTTTTCATAAAAGGCCAATAAGAACATAAATAATGGTACATTCAAAGGTAAATGCTTTATCAATTGTTCTGTTATGAATGATATAGCATAAATCTTTTCTTCATGGAGGCAATAATTTTCATCAAAAATTTAGTTGTTGATCTGTTAAACAAAATCTTGATCTTTATTTCCATAATCTATCTTTACAAAGCTAATGGTGTACTTAAATGACTAAAGGATTTCAGTGCCTGATATGTGCTCCATAAAAGATTGAAAATCACTGCTAAATGGTGTACTTTAATGACTAAAGGATTTCAATGCCTGTACTTTAATGACTAAAGTATTTCAATGCCTGATAAGTACTCTATAAAAGGTTGAAAATCACTGCAAAATGGTGTACTTTAATGACTAAAGGATTTCAATGCCTGTACTTTAATGACTAAAGGATTTCAATGCCTGTACTTTAATGACTAAAGTATTTCAATGCCTGATAAGTACTCTATAAAAGGTTGAAAATCACTGCTAAATGGTGTACTTTAATGACTAAAGGATTTCAATGCCTGTACTTTAATGACTAAAGGATTTCAATGCCTGTACTTTAATGACTAAAGGATTTCAATGCCTGTACTTTAATGACTAAAGGATTTCAATGCCTGTACTTTAATGACTAAAGTATTTCAATGCCTGATAAGTACTCTATAAAAGGTTGAAAATCACTGCTAAATGGTGTACTTTAATGACTAAAGGATTTCAATGCCTGTACTTTAATGACTAAAGGATTTCAATGCCTGTACTTTAATGACTAAAGGATTTCAATGCCTGTACTTTAATGACTAAAGGATTTCAATGCCTGTACTTTAATGACTAAAGGATTTCAATGCCTGTACTTTAATGACTAAAGGATTTCAATGCCTGTACTTTAATGACTAAAGGATTTCAATGCCTGTACTTTAATGACTAAAGGATTTCAATGCCTGTACTTTAATGACTAAAGGATTTCAATGCCTGTACTTTAATGACTAAAGGATTTCAATGCCTGTACTTTAATGACTAAAGGATTTCAATGCCTGTACTTTAATGACTAAAGGATTTCAATGCCTGTACTTTAATGACTAAAGGATTTCAATGCCTGTACTTTAATGACTAAAGGATTTCAATGCCTGTACTTTAATGACTAAAGTATTTCAATGCCTGATAAGTACTCTATAAAAGGTTGAAAATCACTGCTAAATGGTGTACTTTAATGACTAAAGGATTTCAATGCCTGTACTTTAATGACTAAAGGATTTCAATGCCTGTACTTTAATGACTAAAGTATTTCAATGCCTGATAAGTACTCTATAAAAGGTTGAAAATCACTGCTAAATGGTGTACTTTAATGACTAAAGGATTTCAATGCCTGTACTTTAATGACTAAAGTATTTCAATGCCTGATAAGTACTCTATAAAAGGTTGAAAATCACTGCTAAATGGTGTACTTTAATGACTAAAGGATTTCAATGCCTGTACTTTAATGACTAAAGTATTTCAATGCCTGATAAGTACTCTATAAAAGGTTGAAAATCACTGCTAAATGGTGTACTTTAATGACTAAAGGATTTCAATGCCTGTACTTTAATGACTAAAGGATTTCAATGCCTGTACTTTAATGACTAAAGGATTTCAATGCCTGTACTTTAATGACTAAAGTATTTCAATGCCTGATAAGTACTCTATAAAAGGTTGAAAATCAATGCTAAATGGTGTACTTTAATGACTAAAGGATTTCAATGCCTGTACTTTAATGACTAAAGGATTTCAATGCCTGTACTTTAATGACTAAAGGATTTCAATGCCTGTACTTTAATGACTAAAGGATTTCAATGCCTGTACTTTAATGACTAAAGGATTTCAATGCCTGTACTTTAATGACTAAAGTATTTCAATGCCTGATAAGTACTCTATAAAAGGTTGAAAATCACTGCTAAATGGTGTACTTTAATGACTAAAGGATTTCAATGCCTGTACTTTAATGACTAAAGGATTTCAATGCCTGTACTTTAATGACTAAAGGATTTCAATGCCTGTACTTTAATGACTAAAGGATTTCAATGCCTGTACTTTAATGACTAAAGGATTTCAATGCCTGTACTTTAATGACTAAAGTATTTCAATGCCTGATAAGTACTCTATAAAAGGTTGAAAATCACTGCTAAATGGTGTACTTTAATGACTAAAGTATTTCAATGCCTGATAAGTACTCTATAAAAGGTTGAAAATCACTGCTAAATGGTGTACTTTAATGACTAAAGTATTTCAATGCCTGATAAGTACTCTATAAAAGGTTGAAAATCACTGCTAAATGGTGTACTTTAATGACTAAAGGATTTCAATGCCTGTACTTTAATGACTAAAGGATTTCAATGCCTGTACTTTAATGACTAAAGGATTTCAATGCCTGTACTTTAATGACTAAAGGATTTCAATGCCTGTACTTTAATGACTAAAGGATTTCAATGCCTGTACTTTAATGACTAAAGTATTTCAATGCCTGATAAGTACTCTATAAAAGGTTGAAAATCACTGCTAAATGGTGTACTTTAATGACTAAAGGATTTCAATGCCTGTACTTTAATGACTAAAGGATTTCAATGCCTGTACTTTAATGACTAAAGGATTTCAATGCCTGTACTTTAATGACTAAAGGATTTCAATGCCTGTACTTTAATGACTAAAGGATTTCAATGCCTGTACTTTAATGACTAAAGGATTTCAATGCCTGTACTTTAATGACTAAAGGATTTCAATGCCTGTACTTTAATGACTAAAGTATTTCAATGCCTGATAAGTACTCTATAAAAGGTTGAAAATCACTGCTAAATGGTGTACTTTAATGTCTAAAAATATTTTGTTTGTTACCTGTTATTGTAATATATATGAAAGTTATCTATAGTATGATGGTATGTATCATATCAAATTCAAGTGTAAATAACTAAAGCATTCTATTAAACAAATCTTACAATTAAATTTAATACTTACTGAATGAAGACGTATTGTGTATTAATTTGGTAAATTCTACAGTGAAATTCGGAAGTCTTCATCCAACTGATAACAAGGCCATCATTTTAAAATTATTCCTATCTGACTTATAATAACGTTATCTCCAAGCATAGTTTCCATATAACAAATATTAGTAAAAAAATAATAATAATAACAGTCCTACTTTCTCCAGTACTTTTAATAGGAGACTGATGATAAATTTGACTACACTTGATATACATTACTCTATCAGTGTTTGAAAAATCACTTTTTCCTACACAGGGCCTTTCATACATAAAACAACAACTCAATAAGATTTTCCTATCACTCTGGAAAATATTTTGAATGTTTACCCTACAATCTTCACCTGTGTTTGATCCGATTCATTAGTGTCAGAGCCCTCCTTTTCCCTGCTTGGACCTGTGGTTACAGAATTGGACACTTCCTCTTTTGGGCGACAAGCATAATCCCCTCTGCGGTTGACGCATTCCTCTGATGCTGAGCAATCATGAATTCCCTCCGAGCATTCATCAATATCTTCATGTGCAAATAAAGACAACAGCAATGGGATATGACAATCTTAAAGATAATAATAACACTGGCTGATAATTATAAAAGAGGTTATAATTATCTCTAAGCTAAGATATCTTTAGATAATTACAGTGAAGGACATACTTTAGGAGTAAAATATATCATACCTAAATTACAAATGCATTCTGAACTTTAATATTTCTAGCAATAGAAAAACTACAACCAAACTAAGAATTACATTGATTACCCCATCTTTAACTAGCTAATTCTTATCATCCAAATCTGGTTTCCCAGTAATTTTTATTTCTATATGAATGAAGTAGTAATAAGGAGACGTAAGTATTGTATATGCATTAGTCACTATAAGTATAATACATAAAATTAGTGTCTCCAAACTTTTTGAATTACAGTCTAGTAAGATTACTGAGAAAATGTTTGCACTATGAAAGGTTCATAAGTGACATTATTGCTCAAATATCCTTGGTGCCTTTATTCTTCTTTCTTTGTAAACTCCACCTTTTTATTTAAAATGGCAGTGAAATTCAATCACTTCTTGTGATAGATAAATTCTCATGCATGACAATAGTAAAATTAGTGCAAGTCATCTAGGCAAATCAATATTCTCAGCAAACCTGCTATGGTGATCCAAAACTATTTAAACATACCCCCAACACATCAAAAATAAATACAATTCCTAACTGATACCAAATGTATAAGAAAGTAAATATGCTACAGAAAAGCAGACAAACTGACCCATGCACACTCTTGCTGTTCTATTGAAAGTAAATCCAGGATGGCATGTCTGGCTAGCAGTTCCATGGGTGTGACACTGATAGGACCCCAAAGTGTTAACACAGTACTGACCATCCTCACAATCATGTTTTTTCTCACGGCATTCATCTATATCTATGATGAAACAAGTATAAATGAGGTTTATATAAAAAAGCACAGAAATGTCTTTCATTTTCTGATAGAATATGTATATTTTTTTTACATTTATGCTTGTCTTTATAAAACCTCCCTTATTTCTGAAAAGCAATGACTAACAATACCACAGATAATAATAACACAAACTCCATATGTATACATTTTTCACATTTATCCTTAGTCTTTTTAAAAACCCTTATTTCTGTAGTGCAACCACAAACAATATCACATACATAATAATAATAACATAAATTCCACAAGGCAAATTATTCAAATTACTGTACCCATATTTTTTTTCACAAACATATAACTATCATACATATTTACAAGAAAGACACTGCTTCAAAAGCACTTACCTATGCATGCCCTCTGTTCATGGTCATACCTATAGCCAAAGTCACACGTTGGCTTCTGATGGATGCACCTATAACTGCCCACAGAGTTGACACATGTTTGAGTGGACCATTCACAGGAGTCAATATTTTCTGCACACTCATCAATATCTTTGGAAATACAAAAATATGCATTAGTTTAAAAAAAGGTGAAGACATACAAAACATCACTGACCAAGAATATTGGGTATTACATATATTTCTGATAAAGAGAAACTTTGCTGGCTACAAATAACAGCCAGTTTTTTTTCTTTTCTTTTCTTTTCTTTTTTAAATTCCTTTGGATCATAATTCCTACTGAAAAACATTTTCATTAGTTATGAGGTAATATTTCCTTTGTGGAAGTACCATAAGTTGTTCTAAATCATAACCATCTTTGCTAGCATGGAACCAAAATCAACAATATTCATCAAAATGAGTACATTTGCCACATACCTGTGCTTTCAGCTTCCCCAATGGTTTCTGTTTTAACTTTTCCATCTGACTACAGTACTTACAAATTGTATATGATTTGAAGCTTACCTTTAGATTATAAAAAATCCATTTAAAGTGAAGACAGCATTACTCAAGATAATATACTTCCCACAAAAATACAGCTTCCATACATAACATATGCAGTACTTGAATCATAGCAAAAGGAAGTTATCACTCCAACCATAAAAGCATAAGAAATCTTATTTATGCAGGTTACTATGCACCAACACTGCTCTATATAACATGTTCACAAACATTCATAGTAAATCTAAAATGCAATGGTGAAAAATCATAAACTACAGGAAACAAAACGTGACACTCTCGTAAGATGCAGTACATACCATGACACCGTCTATCTGAGGAAGAGTACCTGAACCCTTTAGTGCAGTCAGCTGGGGAGCCGCTGCAGGTATAATGACCATACTGGTTGTAGCATCTCTCACCACCACGGCAATCATGTGTCCCCTCCTTGCACTCATCAACATCTAGTAATTGAGTGTTGGCAAATGGAAATCGTCAGTGAGTTTTGGTCATGTTGTAAAATAATAGAATGGAAAGAAGTGAACTCTGCTTTAAAAATTACAACTTTTTTTTTTGGTTTCAGAATACTCAAAATGATCAGTTATTAATATAATAGCACTGAAGTAACAAAATCTTGGGCCAATAATCTGAATGCTTATTTAACATGATTAATGCTAAATTACAGACTGTGCAATTAAATACCAAGTATTTTTCTTAATATGCAACATACGTATCTCTATGAATCTAAGTTCTTTCCACACATTTTTTTTTATACTTTGTTGTGTAGGAAATAAAAATAAGTAAAAGCAGTTAGAGAATATAGTCAGAAAATTCTTGGTGTCAACTATATTTCTGCCGGTAACTAAAATAGGCTTATATCACTGAAACTAGCTGAATAAGTTTAAAGAGTTTCTTTAGCTGGTAATTACAAGATACCTATCAATCACTGCAGAATGTGAAAGATCTTCAGTGTAGATGAAGTTCATGCTATTAATATTCTGAAAAGCTCAAACATAAAACGATATTAGTAAACACTTCTAACTTTGTATATATTAGTAAAATTAATCAGTTAATAAAGACTTATCATAAAATTTAGTATTCATACAAAATTATCTACTTTGTTGTGTAGGAAATAAAAATAAGTAAAAGCAGTTAGAGAATATAGTCAGAAAATTCTTGGTGTCAACTATATTTCTGCCGGTAACTAAAATAGGCTTATATCACTGAAACTAGCTGAATAAGTTAAACGATATTAGTAAACACTTCTAACTTTGTATATATTAGTAAAATTAATCAGTTAATAAAGACTTATCATAAAATTTAGTATTCATACAAAATTATCACACAGTCAAGAGAAGTGACCAGGTCAACATATTAATAGTAGAAATGAGAATTAATAAGTATACAAATAAAAGCACTGAATAAAGGCTGGATTAAGCACTACTTAACAGTTACAAACTTATATAACCAACTGTAAGTATTTGAGCCATAACTAAATATGTCGTAGCAAATAAATGCAGTAATGCTTACCAACACATTTTTGGGTGTTTGGATCCCTTATAAAGCCTTGTGTGCAGTTTGGCAGAATCTTGCATCTGAAACTTCCTTGCGTGTTGATGCATTCCTCTTTGGAAGCTTCACAATTATGTTCCCCAGTTTCACATTCATTAATATCTGAAAAAGAAACATTATAACATTTTTTTTTTTACAAATGAATATTATTTTATAATATCCTGACCACTGTGCACACCCCTTAGGTTTTTATATTTTAGATGAATAGTCTTTTAGATAAATAAATCATTTTCATTTTCTTTACTCAGAAGCTTAATGCAAATATAAACCTCTTCCTTTTTAATGTTTCCTTTTTCTCCTAAATTGAACTTTTATCATTAACAATTCTAGATCATTAACCCTACTGTGTCGGACAGCTTATAATCATTCTCCCAATGGTGGAAAACCTCACTGGCTAGATTAAGAAAGGAAAATTAACAGAAGATAAAAATCCTGCTTAATTATCAAAAATAACTAGACATTGTATATAATTTGCCAAGCAGATAGAGAAGTAACTGTTTTCTTGAAGTCAAACAGGATATGCGACCCTCTTTTTTTATGCTTTGCTAAAGTTACTGCATTCTACTAATGACAAACCTCTGCATCGTCCAAATATGTCACGTTGATATCCTGTACTGCATTCAAGAGTACGACACCTATAGCTTCCTCTCGTATTCACACAACGTTCATTTTCATCACAGGGGTCATTTTCTTCACATTCATCCACATCTAAATCGGAAAGAATTCAACAGAGTTAAAAGGATATCAGAGTATCTATAGAGAAATAATTTTAAAAAAATAAAAATAAAATAAAACCGCATAGACTGAAAAGAACACTATGGCCTAGATATAGATTATAATGCAGTCTAATCAATTAAATGAGAATAACCCCACCTTCGCACTGCCTGCTTTCACTGTTTCTTCTGAAGCCTGGGCGACAAGGGGCCAGGCGGCGGCACTGATAAGACCCAATTGTATTAATGCATTGCTCCTCTGGACCACAGGGCGTTGTTTCGCACTCGTTGATATCTGAAAATTAAGATACCATATCCTCCACTCTACGGAAATAACACAAAACATACGGATAAATGCTTATACATGTGATACATGGAAATTCAAACAGTTGTATCAGGTATAATGGTCTTATATTTTGAAATAATGTTATGACTGCAGACCATAATTTATATTTTAATACTTTCTTCTTCAGAAACTGTCATAAATGTATGGTGTAGGCTACAAGTAGATATATCATTCATAAAAAAGGTACTTAACTAAAACAGACCTCATGTTACATTTATTCCATTTGAAAACAGGGAAAGAAAAGCATTATAATGATCTGCTGAAAACACCAAAATGAAACCATAATATCTACCTGTCTCCAAACCTTTGGAAATGCTCACCAGTACAACGTCTAGGGTTCGAGGGGTCCCTTTTCCTTCCAATTGGACATGGTTTTGATCGACACGTGTGGCCTCCCTCTGTATTGACACATTCTTCTACACCAACTTGGCATGTGTCACTTCCTTCATCACACTCATTAATATCTGCAACAGAATTACTCATAATATATATTCTTGTAAGCATTCACGTTCTACCTCCCTTAGTATTTATATAAGACGTGATAATTCTGCATAATTATTTTTATATGATAATTCTGTAGCATCTGGCATGGCTACTTTTACTTATTACTCTTAACGGTTTACTAAGTACCAAGATTAATACTGTACCACGACAGACGTTGGTATTCGGATCCCTCCGGTAACCTTCATCACATGGGGGCCAAATGCATATATATGAGCCATAGGTATTTTGGCAAAGTTGTTCTGTCTCACAAACTCGCTCAAGGCATTCGTCAATATCTGTTGTAGAAGAGAATCATGTAATTACAGATCTTAAAGGCTTAAAACATTGGTGAATAACTGGTGAATATATACACTGTGTGTGTGTGTATGTGTGTGTGTGTGTGTGTGTGTGTGTGTGTGTGTGTGTGTGTGTGTGTGTGTGTGTGTGTGTGTGTGTAATTGCAAAAACAAAGCAATTGATACCCAGTGCGCTCTGGTAGCCTTGGGCAGGGATAGGCGGTACCTCGCACTGGGAAAGACCACAAGAGGCTAGCTAGAACTAGTATAAATTGAAATGGAGTATCGCACAGTATAACATACCACTGGGGGTATCAAGTAGTTAGGGAAAAACACTTATAATAAAACAGAAACCAAGAACGAAATTTCATGCTAATTCAAAGTATAAAGCATAAACATATTCTCAGAATCCAAGAACAATTGTAAAAACATGCAGTTTAATCTGGAATCAGTAATCAGACAAAATTAATAGGACTAGATCACTGATGATGAATGCGTTATCGAAAAAATCAAAGGTACTTCAAGACGGCTCATTGGCAGGCTTTCATCCTCTTTATGGAACTTTTGGATCTGTTCTAATACAACTCGATGGTTTGTGTGTGACACCCGTAGTTGAGTCCACAAAGTGATGGCTGTGGATAGTTATAATGTGGAGGAACCCTCTCCTCACGATGTTGGCACTCCCCTCATGAGTGAAATGTACCTGGACGCAGCACATCGTAAATCAATTTGTCCGCCTTCCAGTCTAACACAACTTCTATGTACCAAACTGTCCACCGCAGAACTGTCCATGAGGCAAAACATCCACACTTGTTCCAATGGCTCTTGTCCTATCGAGCTTTCTTCTTGCGTGTGAAACTCGATTCGTCATTTTCTATATGTTCAGTGCAACCAGACACCACGGAAACATGCTGAATATACACTCCATGTGAAACCATAGCCTAGCATAGTCTTGGATATGTCCAGGATCTGTACTGCTACAACAGTCATGAACAAGACCTTGAGGGGGCAATCAGAGTGTTGGGGGCTATTGCCCCCCCCCCCAATGACGCCCCTGGTTGCAAAGCCTTCGGGGGAAATTATAATCGACAATTTGTTAGACGTTCTATACTGTACATATTAACAATATATTATGAAGTCACATCTTTAAGACATACTGTACTGCAAGTAGCGAAGTAACGTCTGTATGGATTGCTCACTTTTTTTCTCTCTCACAGCCTAAAAATACTGGCTGATGTCAGGGAGTTACGGGTGTATTGAAGGAATGGGAAAAGGGCTTGAGTGTAAATAAGTTGGGGACAACTGTTCTAGAAATTGCCAAGGGATGGGTTTGACACTGTTTTCTCAGGGCCTGATTGGCAGGTCATTTACTACGAAATGGCCTTCGACCTTTAGCAAGATGCCTGATTTCCTATCCTTTATTCTTCCTCAACAGGGTCTGAGGCCTAAATGGGCATTCACCAATGGACTTCTGAGCTACAACAACCATTTCGCGTTTGAAGGCGTCCCGCAGTACTAAAGAGTTAGTCTGGTTGCTGAGTGCTATGAATCGGTTAGAGACAGCAAGGCAACCCCGTAATCACAACCCAGCACTCTCAGTCTGAAAGTAGCCATGGCCTTACTATAGCACTCCTGAAAACCCTGTAATTCCAGTTGCCGACAATTGCCTTAGCAGTAAACGTCATGTTATGACTTAGTTGGTAATCATTCCACCTTTGCATTCAGCGGACTCAACCCATGAATTCGACACAGAATTAGGAATAAATACTAACATTCTTTCCTATCTATATCAAATAGAAATTTGCACTTTACCTTCACATTGTAGATTGTTTGGATTTCTCCCAAAACCATCTGGACAGGGAGTAGGTCCCGGACTTGTAGTAACAACTGGTGATGATGTAGCAGTTGTGGTAGTTGAAAGAGTGCATCTATACGAGCCTTCAGTGTTAACACACCATGTTCCACGTCTACATGGTGACTCGAGACACTCATTGATATCTACACACACCGCTGGGTCTCTATAAACAAACAAGGGCATATAAGAGGATACACAAAGTAAAAGTTATTATAAAAATGACATATCGCTATGTATCTTATGAAAAGAAAAGTAAAACTTAGTGCTTTTACGTTGGATCATATCTGAAGCCATCCTGACACTCAACACGGCACTCAAAGGCTCCTTCGGTGTTGAAGCAGATCTCCCCAGGAAGACACTTAGCCACACCAGCCAAGCATTCATCCACGTCTACAAGGGATGTAGAAGAGAGCATTTATTCTGTAATGCCAATATAGGTCGCAACTTAGAAATACCTACATTTCATCGAGATTGTTATATTGTGACGTAATACCCCAGGTATCTTTGTTCGTTCTTCTCTTTTTTCCTTATATCTATGAACCTGAGGTCCCAGTCTCCAGGTCAAAACAATTCTGCTGTTTTATTTACCTTTACATCTTCCAGTGACTGGATCAAGAGCATATCCAGCATTACATCTTCTTCTTGGTCTGCATATGAAGCCCCCTAAAGTGTTGATACAGCGTTCGATGGACAAGGTACAGTTGTGCAAGCCAGCCCCGCATTCATCCACATCTGTAAAGATTTTGCTATTACTTTCAGTGTATGACTTTGAATATTTTAAGCTATATGTATTGCTTTCAATCATTCTGGGAATTTTAGATTTATAAGAAATTTTCCCACTGTTGACGGTTAAATGGAAAAGGAGCATCCTCAAACACACTCAGAGAAAATAATATAGTTTTAAAGAATTCTGCATCTCTTAAATAATAATAAAACAACAATAACAAGAAATCCTACCAAGACATCTCTTTGTGTTAAGATCATAACCAAAGCCTTCAGCACACTCCTGAACTGGTGGCTGAAACGTGGCTCGCGGAAGGGCTTCATATGGGTTAACACCAAAATCAACTTCATTGATACTGAGTTCTTCACAGCGGTATTTGCCAATCTCGTTAATGCAGATTTCAGTTTCTGGATGACAGGTGTGCAGACCTTCAACACATTCGTCTACATCTGTTGGACAGATTAAATCACTGAAGTCAAGGCATGTTGAGATAATAGTGAGTTTGTTAGCTTGCCCATTATTAGATTGTCTATTATTAAGCACCAGTATTAACGTCTTTTTTTCCCAGAAATCAAATTAATGCACATTATTTGAAAAAAAAAGACTTTTCTTTTACTCCTCTACACCTCTGCATTTTTAATAGACGTTAATCATTATAAAATTATATTCAAAATAAATAATTCCAAAGAGTAACTAAAATAAAAGCAAAATATATTTTCTGACCTTTATTATTATTGCTAGCTTTAAAGAGGGAAAATGTGCAAGTAATAGATAAAGCGTATCATTCTTTATTAATCAAATCTGCTTGATCGGAAAGCGGAAGACAATAAAGGTAGAATTGTAGAGTTATTTCAGGTTTATCCTGGGGATTTTATAAGAATTGAAGCATTTGTGAAAAGTGCATTTTGGTCAGTATGACTATCTAAAACTATTCAAGCACCATAGAAGTGTAAGTTTAAGAAGACACGGAAACATCTTAACCCATGTGAAGAATATGAATCATTCGATTTATTTAAAGACACCATACAAGATGACAATGGAATTTATTAATGGTTACAGCCTTCATTATGTTTTTAAATCATTAAATAGACCTGTATACGTGGAATACATTATATGATATTGGCATGCAAGAATAAAATTAACATTTTCTTTGTCCTTTTATGTAATTAATTTTGCTAACCTCTCCTTATATAAAAATGCTGTAAGAATGTAAGGAATGTATATGCAGACATATAAGCATTCTGTACAGACAGCCATTAAACGGTATTATTTAGGAAAGAGAAACAGGTAGGAATAAGAAAATATATTTCAGCCAAAGCTAAAAAGCTGGACTGTAGACGCCAAGAGCCAACCAAGCACACTTTGCCAGGAGGTGACGCCTAACCTTCACAGCGTGTGGTGGTGCCGTTCGAGGGTTTATATCCCGCTGGACAGAAGGCTTTTGGCAGCTCATGACACAGGAAAGATCCCACTGTGTTGTGACACTGCCAGCCGGGATCGCAGGGTTCGTCCACACACTCGTCTTGGTCTGTAGCATGCCGGGATTACCTTTTTTATCAACTTTTTATCAAGTTTCTTCAAGCTATAAACTGTATTTTTTCCTTTTAGATCCTAACCCCAGTATCTGATATCAGTTGAAATAAAGTTAATCTTTGATATTAGATATGAGATCGTGAGAGGGACGAAATAATTGTATCCTTGGATGGATATGAGTCTGGTTTGGTTAAAAATGAGATAAACTTCTCAAAAAATAAAAACCTCACAGTTCATTAATTAAGGTTACTGTTGTGATAATAAGTTTAATTCTCATACAACAGAGTTTATAGAATCTCTGTCATGCCTCTTAATAAATTCGATTCTAAGCCATTTTCCATCGGCAAAATAGCGATATGGTAGAATTGATCAAGAATTTTGGATGTTCAGTAAACGCGAACTTTTAATTTGTACTTTTGGTTTTCCGCGCTCTTCCAGATACCATGGTGTTTACTTTTACCCTATGCAAATTACATAGTACATATACACGATTACATAAACTATGCCTAACATATAGGTTTGCTGAATTAGAGTTTACTGCATACACGAGTATGTGTGTGTGTGTGTGCGTGTGCTTGTGCGTGTGTGTGTGTGTGTGTGTGTGTGTGTGTGTGTGTGTGTGTGTGTGTGTGTGTGTGTGTGTGTGTGTGTGTGTGTGTGTGTGTGTGTGTGTGTGTGTGTGTGTGTGTGTGTGTGTGTGTGTGTGTGTGTTTCCTTTATCTATAAACGCTTATGTATAAAAGCTCTTCTTTTTCGGTACTAGAGAAAAAAAAAGATCATAGTCATATTCGCGCATGAATAGTATAAACCAAAGGGCCCTTTTGAATAAACTGCTATTAGAGAAGTGAGGCAAAACATCATACGATCTGCATCACTTGCGCCAGTACTTACCAACACACGTCCTCAGAACAAGGCTGAACTGGAAGCCTTCGTCGCATTTCTCGTCGCATTCGTACGCCCCGTCGGTGTTCCGGCATTGCTCCCTCTCCGGGTCACAGCCGTGTAAATTTTCGTCGCATTCGTCCACATCTGTTAAGTGATACTAAGAGCTTGGAGGGCTGGTTTAACAACTAAAAACAGGAGGCAATCCAGAGAGGAGAGAGTTTCATACAGTGAATAGTTGTCAGTTCTTCAAAAAAAAATGTTTTGTATATTTTGTTCGCAGATACATGTTCCCTAATATCTACAGTAAAAATGCTATGAAGGCTTTTAGAGCTACCCCATAAGCGACGAAGAAAATAGTGGATACAATTTTGCTGTGTAGATGAAGAGTGGTCATACGAGAGTGGTCAAGGAAGTCACATATCAAATAACACTCTTCTATAGAATAAATAGCTTCAGTAACAAAATCATATCCATATGAATTATATTTCTTTATAATATTCCTTAACATTTTCAAATCACTACTCTACAAAAACAGTCATTTAAAAGCGCAAAAGCCGTAAGAACTCTACACAGAAGCATATATTACGAGCCCATTACAGACACAATAGACTGAAATAAAATAAGTACGTAACCCACATAGACTATCCAGACAGTAAAGACCCAGAAACTGTACTTACCTTAGGAATGGCGTTTAGAAATGCTGTTATAATTAATACATTATGTTTTTTTTTTGTCAGTGACTTCTTGATATATAACAACGCCTTGGTTTTAAAAGAGTAATATCAATCATACCTATACAAATCTTCTGCTCAGCGCTGTACTTATAGCCAGCGATGCACTCTGTGGGGCCGCTTTTCTTCTGGCAAGTGAAGCTTCCGCGAGTGTTCACACAAAAATGCGATGTCCTGTTGCAGTTGTCGGTTTGCAATATGCATTCATCCACATCTGAAAGTTAACGTGGTAATGTTAGTTTAGGGGATAGCATAAGTCAAAGATCCTCTAGTGTTATAAGTAAATAAGGATAAATCTTATACAGAATGAAACTAATGAACAGTTTTACTCTATTAGAATTTCAATTATGTT